CCCTCCCCCTTCCTATCTTTCATTATGTACTGTTTGTCATATTCTGTTTTCCCATCTGGTGGCAGTTGTGTACGTCTAATGAATCCTCCAAAACTTTTGACTTTGTATCTTTCCGAGGTTCCTCAGTTCATTTGCTGTTAATTTCTTAAAAGCTTTTCTCAGAAGCAGTCACTCAGGTGAGACATTTCCACTCTGCAGGTGCAAGGCAGGCATTCCTGCTGCTCCCTTGTCGCTGGCCCCGTTCTAAACCCCATTCTTAGGGCTTTTACATTACAGCAACAGCCACACACTATAAGGAACAATATTCACAAATGACCCCATTGTTCAGTATGCTGCATCCCATATGTTTGCTTATGGCCATAAATCCAATTGCATTACTTCAGCTATGGCAGATTTATACCTGCTTCCTATCAGTCATTGAATTGACTTTAAAATTTTGTTCAGAGTTTTTCATTACCTATCTGAATCATCCCTTTCGTACCTATCAAAATTGGTCTCCATTGATACATACCCTCAGTCCTTACTTTCTAATAATAAATCTCAAATTCATCAGCACCCTTGCCAGGTCTCTCATCCATGAGTAGCAGAGCATTCACCTGTTATGCCCCTGAGCTGTGGAATTCCCTGAACTCAAGTCTCATCTCCAAATCCCCTGAGCTTTTCTAATCCCTCTTTGATTCACACTTATTAAAAATTACTTTTCATACTTGATCCATTACTGACACATGCTGTAGGCTTTACTGACATAAAAATAATTCTATTTTCTTTATAGATGATGCACTGACAATGTCAAGACAAAAAAAGAAAAAAAAAAAAGAAGAAAAAAGAAAATAAGCCAATTTATTTGCTTTATATATAGATTGAAAGACTTGCTTTTCTCTATCTTTCTTTTCTGGGATTAAGCATCAGCTCATCTGCTTGGGCTGTGGTGACCAGACCTCAGCTCTGAGAATAAAAGTAGAACTTCCTATTGCTATTATATATTCCTATATCATTAATCAAATGAAGAGTACTGAGTAGGCATATCATAAAAATCTAATTTGTAGTAAAGGTATTTTACAAAACATTAGCACCCAATCATTCCCATGGCCTAACTGGGTGCTATGCTCAAGAAAAAACAGAAGCAGAGACAGGAAACACGCCAGGACATTCCTGAAGGGACTCAGGTGTTCCAGTGTCCAAACTCTGGACTGAGACAAGATCTTTTGCCAGCAGTGGGTATTCCTGTGTCTTTCCTGCACACACTCAGCCTGCTGCTTACATCTGGAAAAACACATCTTGTTACAGGAGCCCACACATTATTTGAGTGCTTCGAGGTGAAGCACAAGCAGATCTGAAGCATGTTAGGGCTGTGACTCCTGAGGGCAGGTGTAATCTTGACCCAGGATGTGCACCCAAGTGACCTACACTTCACCTCACCCTTCAGGGTGAAGTCAGAGGTAGTTTTGAAAACAGGTTTATCCCAGAGGAGCACATTTGTGAGAAGTGTGTATGACAGCAAGATTCCTTTTCTGATCATGTGAAATGGCTCCACTCGTAATAATTTTTATTCTCTGAGTTTACTAAACTGAACAAACTGCGAGTTTTCAGTGATTTCTCAAGTCCTGCACATCCCACTGAACCCCCTGTGACAGAGCACTGCTCAGCCCTGGCTACTCTCTGTTCCCACACCTGGGAATACTGACCTGGACTCCCCATGGCTGGACATGGAAAGAACTGCCATGGTGTGCTTGTTCTGTGTCCAGAAATAATGAATAGAACTGGTGAAGGGAAAACTTAGAACAAACAGGAAAATTATGATGGTTTCTCCTTCATATTTACATTCTCCCCCAGTTAAACAGTCTGTAACATGGCCCAACAGGGTATATATATTTATCATTCTTATCTTTGCTGTTTGAGTTCTAAGTCTAAGATTTGGGCTGAGATTAATAGCAGGTCACCAACTCGATTTATGGCAATGCATTTACTCATGTAGATAATCTGTGCATTGAGTTTGCTTTAGTGCTCTGGAACTTCTTCACTGTTCTCTGGGATTTTTTTAAAAATCAGCATCATGTTCCAGAGAGTTTCCCAACAAGCCCTTTAAATACTTCGGTGCAAATTATCTCACCCTGTAAATTCAAAAAACCCTTTAGTTCTGACAGTTGTCATTTAATGATCTCCCAGTTGATTGGTCAAGAAGTAGTCCTTAGCACTGTCAGATGTGATTACATCATGCTGGTTCTTTCCAAACCAGAACATAAATATTTAATACCTTCTTTTACCTTTTCTGCACCATAGTTGACAGTTTTACCTCCTTTCCTAGGTTTTCCAGAGGCTGTGCAGCACTCTCAGTGCTCCATATTTCTGCTGCACTGAAAGGATTTCCTCCTCTTCACCCCACACTGTTATTCTCTCTAACTCTTCCGCACATATCTATAACTCCTAATTAGTAAAAAAAACAATTCCTCCAACAGCTTCTCAGCTCTAAAGATATTTTATGGTGGGTTTAATGAACATTATTCCCTTTCAAATTATGAAGCTTTCTTACACCGTTTTGAAAATGTAATGTTCCTCTGGAACTCTCAAAAACTTAATGTTAACTACAGTTTTGCACAGTACACTCCTGAAGTAAGTTTATTACTGGCTGAAGAAAATGCTTTTTTTACTTAACAAACAGAACCACACATACATTTTCCTTTAAATTTGATATTTACTTCAGTAAATATTCCACATTATATTTTAATTCATAATGGATAAATACTGAAAATTGAGACTGTGTGCTGGTCTGAATGCTTTTTCTACCAAAAATGTTTATCCATTAAATTTTTTATATAGTAAACAGAAAATTTTTAAGGAAAAAAGTACCTTTGGCAAGCTAGTCTCCGTTTTCAGTTGTTATTTTTCTTAAAGGTAGTGTGAGGAGCTGCCTCTGCCCTTTCTATCAGTTGTTATTAAAATTAGGCCATGCTCAGGTTTTTTTTCAACACCTCTGATGCAAAAGTCAATAAATACTGTGGAAGGTAAAAGAGGAGAAACATCTGGGGTTTTTGGTGAAAGAAGAAAAGCGTGGCTTGCATTACTCCACAAAGATCTGCTGAAGAGACTTTTTTACACACTCAGCCACAGCACCTGCCTTAAACTTCTGGTTGCAGCAGAAGACAATGGACTTCTTCCTATGGTCTTCCTAAATTCCCACAGCACCATCCTCCTTGCTGCATCAGGGAATGCCAGAGGGAATGGCCCCAGTGTCATGTGCCCTGGGGCACTGTGCCACCCCTCCAGGGTTGTGTGTTAAAGGCCCACCACTGCGGGTTCAGGCTTTTGCTGGGGACAGTAGGCAAGGGACAACAACATTTAGGGCTTTGAACTCACAGTTTAGAAACTGTGAGAGGGAAGGTGTCTGTTTAGTTTAAGTTTCTGGATGGAGAAGCTCCTCCAAGCATGACAGGCAGCTCAGGAGTACATACACAAGTGGCTGTTTAAAAATTTAACAAGTAGGCAGTGGAGGCTGCTGTAATAGGTTGATCAAAAGCAAGAGCCAGCATCCTGACAGTGAATGAGTGGTAACAGCTATGATGGGGTTGGACTCTAAAAGGCCTGGAAGGCAAAAGCAGTTATTTCTGATGCAGCACAGGAAAAGGAAAGATGCCAGAAAAGGATAATGAAAGAAACTGATCTTTTCAGTACTATCCACCACAGCTACAACTGGAACAGAACACTATTTGTCAAGGCCAGAGTGAGGGATGTTGCTGTAGCTGAGAGAGATGAGAGGCTCGGTGAGCTGGATATAAAATCCTGTATGGAAATCTTTTTCAGAAGTACTAAAGGAAGAGAATCTGTGAGACTGAGATATTGTCCAGAAGCTTCTCTAGTCAAAGACTGTGGGGGCCTGGCAGCCAGGTAAGGGCAAGCACAGTAGGCAGGGACTCTTCTATTCCTACTGAGCTTTCCTGATGGCTCCCTGAATGCAGGTGCCAGAGGTGGGGACAGAGGTGAGCTTGAGGAAAACGTGTGGATGTTTTCATTAGATGAGAGAAAGAGGGAACGAAATGTTTGGAGAAAATATTGCCTAGGATCAAACAGCAAGAATGAGACAAGAAAAATAAGCTTTGAGAAGCAGCTGAAGAACGCAGGAAGGGGGTGGCATGATAAGACTGCTTGTTAGATTTCCCTTACTGCTCAAAGCCCCATCACTTCAGTTCCTTCATTCCTGTGGCTCATCCCTCACCTGCTACAGAGGACTGCAGTGGAATAGTGATGTGCAGTGGGGAGCAGCAAGGCCCCTGATGCCAGCCTGAGGTGAGGCTGACAGAGCAGGAGACAAACTGAGCACTGGCAGCTAGCAGCCTCCTGACTGCCCATACTCATTTGGCACCAGCAATCACTATGGCTTAGCAAAATCCTCTGCAGGCTGTTGACACTCTGGGAATCTTCTCTGGAAAGCCAAATCTTGCTCTTTTTTTTCTTTTTCTTTTTAATGAACTATTTAATTTTTTTCCAGTGTTCTGCTTAGTCATTCTAACATATTCCTCCTCTGATTAGCTATACAGCACATGGCACAGTGGGAGTACTCTGTGGTTACAGACTAATTCTAAAACCAATTTAAAACAATGTAGATGTAATTTACCTTGTATATGCCTCTAACATTCCCTAGGCAGTTGTACCCATTATTGCAATCAGGGAAAGTCTTTTACTGGAGTTCTTCAGCTTTCCACATATTGCTATTTTTTAAATAATATTTTAAAAATACTCATAGTTCTTGCAGAAAACTAGTCTACTTACAACTCTACAGCCTGTGAACATACTAAGCTTATTCTTGCATAAGTTTTTGGGCCTAGTTCTTGCTTATAATGTTTGTAAAATATGGTGTCAAGAGGAAAGATGCAGAGAATAATTCTGTTTATACATTGAAAGAGTCAGAGGACAATCTGTCGAGAACAGGGTCAAGAAAGCCAGGGAAAGTACAAATCTAAGGACAAATGTGAATGGTAACATCAGAGGCAATTAGCAACTCAGGGAACAGAGCTTTAGCTGGAAAAAAGACTAAAATTCTTGGAAATAATTTGGAAAAGTGTGTTACCATTTATTGATGATAAATTTTAGAAAACCCGGAATGGAAACACAGTTGAGAGGACCCAGTTAAGGGCAAATCCTGCAAGGGAAGGAAAGATAAATTAGGAAGGTTACTTTTGTCACTCTTTGCATGGAATACATTTGTAGGAAACTGCCTCAATAAATGAAATGAGACAGTACAAGAAAAGTTTTGAGATCTTACTTTTGGACTACCATCTGACCATTAAATTAGAAATGTTGTTACAAAAAAAATAAAAATGTGGCTAAACAATTTGACATTGGAAAAGGAGTGTTACCTTGCATAGAACCATACAGAACTTTATTATAGAACACTATATTGAATATTTAAGTGACAATTTCTCTGAAAATAGAGAATTTAACTCACAGATTACCAAATACTTACAGAAAATCATGGCAAGTTGTAGAAGGGAATCTGAATTGAAAATGAGCTTCCACTCTCCTGCATAGAGATACAACATATCTACAATTTCCCAAATCCAGCTGGTGCTTGATTCCATCATTTCTATCCATTTTATGCTGCCTCTTCTGTCCCTCAGGAAGCAGGTGGAGTGCCAGGTCCTGTTGGATAACAAGGATGTAGGAATAGGATTTATTTTCATATACTTAGTTATTTCTTATCAAATACAGTCAATTTGATATCTTTCTTGTATAATTTCTGCCATCATCCAAGAGCATTTCACAAAGGCATTAAGGTATTATTTTCTGAGTCTCTGAAAATATTGTTTGTTTGTAAAAAAGATGAGATTGTTGAGAAAAAGAGATTAAAAAGGCAAGCCTAATCTAATAGAAAAATTACATAACTAGGATAACCTTATATATTTATCCCTTCCAATAATGATGAGAGTGTCCTGAGGTGAGACAAATACCTGAGTCAGTGTGCTCATAATCATTATATCAGAAATTAAGTTGCACATAATAAAATCACACTTGAATGAAAAAGGTTTATCCAAAGAGGTAAGACAGATGTACATAAAGTTCCCCAATGCTACTAAAATTAATTTTCTAGAATCCCAAAGTGTAAAGTGTCCTTAGTTGTCAAATCAGTCCCAAAGACAGAAAACTGAGTACTGCACATAATTTCAACAGTATTACTCCAGTGAGTAAAAGAAGACTTCTTTGGTGAGGCTTAATGACAGCAATTAGTAAACTATCAAAGTTACATTAAATTCACTGGTTTGACTGGAAAAGACTATTCTTAATTGGTAAAATATAACAACAAAACACCCAATTTAAAATATGCATCCATATTTTTGATATATCAGAATGAAGATTCAGATTTCAGGCGTTCTGAGTTGAAAAGTTTTTGGATGTTGTATCAAAGTGAGCATGAAAACTCTGCATACAGAGGAGGACAATGGGAAAAGAACAGATCACACTTCACCCCTCTTATATCTTCATTGAAGCCTACAGGATGTCCAGAAAGTTGGTGAAGTCCCCAACAACTGGAAAGAGCATTCTGAGTAGATCTGCTTGCATTATCAGAGCCAGCTAGAAACTCTTTATATAATGGAGGCTGAAATTTATTTAATCACCTGTCAAAAACAAGAAGTAGAAAGTAGCTGCAGCCAAAATAAAGTTACATGCATTATTTTATTCTTTTACATAAGGCACCATGCTTTACTGAAGGAAGGTTAAATTCCTTTCTATTTCAGCTAGATTTTAAGCAGCAAAACCAAGGGAAAAAAAAAAAAAACACAGATGCTTTTTCTAAGGTAGTTTCACTCAGATAAACTATCTATCTGTTGGACATAGTTAAAAGTATAAGATTAATTAAGACAGGAAAAGTATTTCCTTGAACATTACCAGAAATGCTAGTCATGTTTCAGTGTCAGGCACAATTATCAAAAAGCAAAACATACAGAACTTAAATGACACAGTCATCCTTGCATTATTTTGTTTCTTACCTTGTCCTTCATGGGCTGTCAGGTCATCTTTTTCATTACCATTTCCAAGGATTGTTACAGAGCAGAGCTGCCTGGGATGAGGAAGGAGAGTTTCTTCCTTTTCCTTTGAGTTGTTCCTGCTCTAACAGAACAGTTTCTAATGAAAAACACTGAACAAGAATTTTGTAGAGAAGTGTGCCGTGTCCAAGATGACCTGTGACCAGAGCTCACTGCAGAGATTAGATCCAGGATCTAAACCTTTTCTCCCCTACATGGTTCAGAGCAAAATTCTGAACATACATGTCTCAGATGCAAATTCTGACCAGCAGGAATTCTGTACAGAGTAGGAGAAAACAGAAGAGGAAAGGGGAAGAAAAATGGCTCTATTGCAGCCCTTCTCTGCTCAGCAAATCATGTCATCACCTCATAAAAGCCAGGCTTCCTCACTCAGGTGTACATGCTCATAAGCACATTAAACAACAGTGAGTTCAGCCTTTTGATCACAGACCAACACAAAGTACACACCAAGAAACTTCATCTGCAGTGTGCAATGGCATGGCTTTCTTTAATATTTTCAAATGTTTTTCAGAAGTGGACAGCCAGAAACAAAACCCGAGGAAAGAGCAATGTGCTCTTTTTACCAGGAACATCCGTTTGTCCCTAGTTAGGCACACATGTAAAAACAGGGCTAACTCTTTTGCTCAGACATGGAATTGGTCATCTAATTTAAAGATTCAGGCTGTGCCATCCAGAGTTAATTATATAAAACACAGGAAGCATCTCCCACAAACCAGTTTTCACAACATCCCTCGTGGCCCAGGTTCAAACAAACAGAACAAGTCACAGCAAGCACGCAAAAAACCATGAAGAAATCCTGCTGGGAAGTTGTTTGCTCAGAAAGGGAGGTTTTGTGTGATTCACACACATTTAAAAACATTGACGATTCCAATAATTAAATAGCAGGAGGGTTATTTCTTCACTGACAGAAGTAGTAAGTGAAGTACAGTAAGAAGCAGCTATTCCCAGTTGTAGCACTGAGAGCACCAATGCAATCCCACTGTCCTTCACTCGTAGTTTTGAAAATACTTTTCTGCAGGGAGTTGAAAACAAGCAATGAACTCCAGGACACTGAAGGAGCGAAGAGTAGCTTACAGAGAAGGTAGAGGAATGTTTGAGTTGATTTTTTACTATGAAGCAGAGTAACATTTCCCCATCTCTGAGAGGTTCTCTGTATAACAAGTGGTACAGTAAAGAACAGGCAGCCAGCACATGTCAGAGAAGAGAAATGCATCCTGAGTTCATGTTCCCACAGAGGAGATAAGGAAAAGCTTGGGTACCCCACATTGGATCCAGCAGTTTATATTTGTTCATCAAACAATTTGAATATATATTTTTTTAATGTAGGTTGCTTTTTGAAATATATCTTATATAGCCATTTTTTTTCTTTCTTTTCACACCACTAAAAGTGGAAGAATAATTGCATATCTGATTTTCTATTGAATTATTTTCTTAGTTTAGTTAGAAAAGGAAAAAAGATAAAGCATTAAATTATCCAGATCCTCATTTCTTAACATTCTAATGAAAAGGAAGATTTTATTTTTCAAGATATCCAGTCCAGCCACTTTTCTGAATAAATGCCGACTTCTTCCTCACATGTTTTTCTCTTGGCATGAACACAGCCTGACAACAAATGTGCAGGTAAACAAACATTTTCACAACTAGAATTACAGAAGGTAATAGCACATTTTTCTGTAAGAAGATACTGAGAACTGCTATTTATATGTGTCCAGAAGATATGATTAGTTAATGACCACATACTTAAATTTTCAAATTTCTTTACTAATAAAGCTGTGTGCTCTGGTTTTTTTCCACACAAACGTAGGACTCCTCAAAGTTATACCTTTAAAATATACCTAAAAATCTCTCATCTCTAATCTCAGGAGTTGAAATTCCTGTCCTTTGTCATTTCTAGGGAAGAACCACAATCTGAAAGGAAAAGGAATTTGACAATTAAATTATTATTGGAAAGTTGATATCCTGCTAGGTGTTTTGAGTTATCTGAAGAGATATAGACCTGTCTGCACTAAATATAATGTATTTTGTGAAAATTACTTGAAAGAACATTATGTAAGAAGTTCCATACACATTGTAAAAAATACAACCTACAGAAATAAAAGGGAAAGGAAAAAATGCCTTATAAATAATCAAAAAGTTCAAGGCTGCATCTTTGAAACGTGCATTTGAAAACACTTTCTTTGCATAAGAAGTAGGCTAGTCTACAAACTTCAAAGGCATTTTTTAATATTATTTGTTTCTTATTCATTATTAAAATTAAATGCTGTAAGTGAAGGTTTCTACAAGAAGTTGGAAGAGCTGCCTAAATTTAAATCACCTTAAGTTCGATTAGATACTTTGGAATAATCTTGGCTTGTTATGGTTGTTTTACACTAACTAGTCAGACTACCTGTTATCAAGGCCTAGATAATTACTCATCAGACACTTGTTTTGTACAGCTCAAATAGCTTTGACAATTGTTGAAATCAAGCCTTCTTCCCTCGCTGGAAAACTCTGAAATAACAAAACCAAAGTCTACCAAGTATGAGCTTCGATGTCAAACTGTGAATTTATACTTCTGTCAAGACAATCAGAAGCACAACTTGAACTGCCTATGACAAAAGGGGAAGGAGAAGGGAAAATAAAAAACTAGAGTAAAAAAGAAAAGAGTCATAATGAACCCCATGAGGAAGAGATAAAAACGATCTCAAATTGTTCCTCTTCACCAATGGACCACAGTTCATCACCATGAAGTGGTTTTCTGTGCCAGACAACCTGTGGCATCCTCTGCCCTGCTGCAAGGAATTCCTGCAGCTCTGCCATGTTCCCCCATGCCTGTGGGCATCCCTGTCGGAACTCAAAATGTCTCTCAGACATTTTTGGATGTTCCGGGCCCTGGCCAGAAGCATTTGAGACCCTGGTAGGCAGCTGGAAACAGCTGTGATTTTAGGTTTGAGCCATGGAATGATTTACAACTTAGCAGGTGGAACAAGAAGTCACAAAAGTTTAGATATTATAGTAGAAGTAGTCACAAAGTAGAGGGAAGAATTTTTGAGTGCTGTACAGGGGCGTTTTAGTTTTGTACATGGGGGTCAGAGGTTTTAAGATGGAGGGATTTGGGCCTGTCCTGCCCTCCCTCTTACTTCTTCCTTACCTCCATGTTCTTGGTGATGTTGGCACTCACAGATTGGTTTAGAGTAGAAAAGCACCATTTAATATAGGCAATAGGTATTGGGGAAAATCTATAAACATGCAACACGTAATGTACCATATAAAAGAGAGCAGCAGCCCTGGGCAGGGGGAGAGAAGAAGCAGTCGGGAGTCAGAGAGGATGTCAGGGTGTGTGTGTGCCTCTGCCTGAGCTGCTGAACAAACCACAGCAGCCCGAGAAGAAAATCATTTAGATAACTTGCAGTAAACAACCTTGAGACCAAACAACAGAGACTGCTGAGCCCTTCTTTGAAAGCACGGGTTGGAGGAGAGACTTTTCCACCATACGGAGCCACCCCTGACCGAGGGTGGGCTCCTGCACATCGCTCCTCCACCCAGCCCAGCTCACGGATCCACCCTGCTTATTGGACCCATAGGCAGGGCAAGGAGCAGAGCTTGGTGTGCTGCTGTGCCAGGCAGGCAGAGCAGGCAGCCACAGAGCCACCAGTGCAGCATTTCTGGACCTAAATCACAGGCTCCTGCTCCTGCTGAGGAGGGGCAAGTTTTGGTGATGGGGGTAGGAATGTGGGATCCTTAGAAAAGCTGCTCTTTCTGTGAGGGTCAGTGACAAGTGGAAGGGTGGAGGCGCTGACAGAGCAAATACAGGTATTTTGTTGCCTTAAGGAAAAGGGTTTTAGAGCAGGAGAATAAATTTCCAAGTTTCTTACATTCTTCACTGTTATAATACATTTTTGTCCACTTGCAGCTATCGGTTCATTATTTCAGCTCCAGTCCTACCTGCCAGGTTATTCAAGTACCATACAGTAAATTTGTGCTAGGCAGCTTCTCTCCTTTCTACTATTCATATTTCCTAAGGAGACAGCGCCGTTCTTACAAGAGGAGGCATTTAATTCACAGCCCTGCCACGGGCTCCCTGTGTGACCAGAGACAAGCCACTTAACCTTTCAGTGCTTTGGTTTCCCCTTCTCTAAAATGGGGAGAATAACATTGCATTTCTTACCTTTTATTCATTTTGTCTGTTTAGACTCTAAGCTCCTTTAGGGTGGAGGTTATCTGCACTAAGTTATAGGAGTGCAGCATTTATCAGTATAAAAATATCAGTTGCCTGTGTAAAATAGTTCAGAATTTTTATTTTCATAGATGAACTGAAGTTCAGCACTATCCGAGCAAGTGCAAAATGTTCAAATGATTTTTAAAAAAGCAAGAAAATTGCTTCACACTGCCTGTGCTTACAGATACTCTGCTGTCAGCGTCTAACAGGAGCATTTAAGCAGCACTGCTGTACCTGGATTCCTGATTTGTGACAGGTGAGAATCTTACAGATGGAGGGGGGATTAGGGACTGCCTTGTCTCTGAATTCCCTAGTTTTCTTGTTCAGTGCATTGTTAATGTGATTTTAATGTAGACCTGCAGGTATATTCTTTTTCAATGCAGCAGGCTCACTATGCAGAGTAGCCACAAGAAAACAATATTTCTTGTTTCAGTCCAGAACGTGTCACAATTTGGGGGCTTAAACTGCTAACACTTAAATGCAGCCAGCTACTTTGTATTACAAATAGAAAGAAAAAGTGTGTGTATACTGGCCTTGTCTCCCTATTTATTTACACTCACCTAGATTCAAGCACAGACCTTCCACCTTCAACAAGAGCATTTTTGACATTTTGAGACTGGGGGAAATGGACACATTAGTCTGCACCGAGGCTTGGCATGGAAAGTGGTAGAATTGCTTGATAAGCTTGTGAAAATGGAAAAGCATTTGTCTTTTAGGCTGCCAACCTTGTAGTCATGTCTGCAGGCTTTACTGCAGATGCCACTGTCAA